GTAGATGTCTGTTGTGTACATTTTTCTAGTATCATTCTTCTCATGTACTGTGCAGGATAGGCCACCTCCTGGCTTCTATTTGCTCTTCCATTTTTTTATATATTCCATGACTGCATTAGTTCACATACCACAGAATGGCACCATGAATTTACATCCAATTGTCTATTTTGCACATTAAGACCTTTCTTTCAAGTCTCTGCTTCCCTCAGCTTTTTGGGAAATGCTTTGTTCCCAGGCACAGAATATGCATCCTCTGTTGATTGCCTGGAACAGCCTCTTTTCCCTGGGGTCTGGCTCTGCCCCCAGCCTACAGAGGGACCAGAGCTGCCTCACCATGTGCAAGGGCTTTCATCATCAGATGAGTAGCCTTGGCCAGGCCCTGTCTGCACTTACCCGCACCCAGCTCTCGGAGCATCAGCTGGTGGTCATTCAGCTTGTTCTGAAAGAAAATTGTGTGATTGCTTTTAGCTGTAGTTGGGAGATTGAATGATGGGATGGAATAAATCACTGCATGGTAAGGAAGAGGCATACAAGATTTGAGACAAAGAGGAAAATACCTTTTCCACTCCCTTTAGTTCTCTTTTTAAAGTCATTTATGTTTACTGTGCATAACTGTATATATATGCCTACACATCACCTCATGAACTCCTGCGGATGATTCCCTCCAGTAGATCCCTGGAAATACAGAGAGGACACAGGATTTATCCTCCTGTTGCTGAACTAAGCATCAGATTGTCAACAGAGGGCAACTTTGTAGGCATTAACTAAACAGCCAGATCCCTACAAAAGTTCATCTTATTGGGTGCTCTGCAACTATACAAACCCACCAGATGTGTTATGCTGCCCATCTGGAAGTTGTGGTTCTTTTTTGGCTCTGTGAAGGGCAACTTGGCTCTTTCAATACTTGGTTTTACTCGCAGGGGTTGAATTCGTGATTCTGTCCCTGGGCTGTTTTAAAGCAAGTGGCTGAGGGTCCCTGGGAGGCTTAGCCAGGGTCAGTGCATGTGTTGAACTTGTTCTGCAGCATGGTCAGGTCACGGGAAGAGGCTGTGGCACCTTTGCCCCTTGTGTAACCTTCCCCTGCCCCTCAGTGAGCACCTTGCTACAAAGCTGCAGCTTTGCTGGTTCCAACCGGAGCATGTGTAACTCTGCACCAGCCACCATTATCAAGAGAGAGCTGTTTGCAGCCTGCAAGTAGTACACAGTGGCTTTGGGTGTTGCTGAAAATAGCCAGCGTGAAAAATCAGGAGTCACACTGTGCCGTCTTCCCAGTGTAACAGGCTGATGAGAGGCAGGCTGAGAATACAGTGTATTTCCCATTCCAGGACATCTTGTCACTCTCCTGGGGGACTATGTGCCTACACCCATGCAGGGCATCCCTGGATGAACAGGGCCCTCAGGGAAAGAGCTGGGTTGTCCCCTTGCTGCTGTGGATCCCCGGGGGATCCCTCCCAAGCAGCGGCAGCCTGAGTCATGCAGTGTGTCAGGCTGTGGGCATGGGCTGATGCGGAGGCGATGTGCAGCCAGGAGCTGGTGAGCTGGTAAGGGTGTCTGGAGAGTGAAAAGGCAGCAGTGCCAGTGCATGGAGAAAGGAAAAGATAGAAGCAGAGCAGAGAGGGTAGGAAGGAAAAGTTGTGGCTGCCCCATTGCTGGCAGCGTTCAAGGCCAGGCTGAACAGGGCTTTGAGCCACCTGGTCTTAGTAGAAAGTGTCACTGCCTGTAGCAGGGGGGTTGGAACTGGGTGATCTTTAAGGTCCCTTCCAACTCTAACCATTCTGTAAGAAAAGAACAGCAGGGAATGAGGAGAAGGAGCAGGAGGTCTAGGGGCAGGAAGGCTCAGGGTGCAGCAGGAGGATGAGGAGCTGGCAGGCAGAGCAGGAGCAGAGTTGTCAGTGGAGCTTGGATTAGTTCGGTTTTGAAGCTCTATGACTGTGTAAGTGCTGCGCTTAGCCTGAGTTACCTGACTTGGTGCTTTGCTCCCATGGTAAGACTGCATCTGGGCTGGAGCAGACACGGTTTGTAAGAGGTGGCTGTGTAGAGCCCGGTGTTGCTTCTTTCATTGCCAGTTTCCCACCACATACATGTATCCCCAGCCCGCTTCCAGGCTTCATCTCGTGCTGGAGCTCCAGCAGGGACAGTGGGAGGAGGGTGGGCAGCTGAACAACCTGTGAGCCCACATGGCCCCGTGTCACTGCTGTGACAGGGCAGGGCTGTATAACTCCCCATTGGAGGTTCACAGCTCCTGGTAAAGGGCTCTGCTCCCAGGGGCGAGGAAGCATTTTCCTGCCTGTGGAGACCTTTTGCCTGGGCTGTGCTCCCGTTTCCAGGAGACACAACGCAGGGCTGCTCCTGGTGATGTAAGCTGTGGCCTTTCATCATTGGCTGGGAAGAGCTTTTGCCAAAAGAAATGGAAAAGAGAAGAAATATGCTGGGCAGGAGGGTGGTGTTCTGGCTTGATGGAGAAGGCTTGGCTTTAAACCTGTTATTAAAACCGGAAGCAGGAAGTTTTTGCTATGAGTAGGTAAACTCTTGTACCTTGAAATGACTAAACACACGAGACTGGAAGTAACACCTTTGTGCTAATCCTCATGTTTCCTCCAGCTGCTGCACAGGGCTCATGTCAGCTGGCCTGGCTCCTTTCAAAGCTTTCTTCCTTTTCAAGCTCTGGGATTAGCTGACAGTGTAATACGATACAGGATGCAATGCATTACTGTGGGCTGCATGTGTCCCTCAGCCATACCCGTGTGGGCATAAGAGCCAGGACAGTAATTCTGCAATGAGGTTGTTGTGAAGGTGATTTAGGGAGGTCTTTGGCTCAGCTGTGCACTGAGGCTGGGTAGAGGAAGCTCCGAGTGGTGTCATTTCACAGCATGCCCGTTGGATCCTTTGGTTCCCCTTCCCTTCTCTTTTTCCTTGTAGTGGCTGCAGCAAAGGCTCCATTATTTGGCAGTGTGGCATCACTTTTGTCTATAAATGGAAGCAGTTGGCCCACCTCCCAGTATAACACAAGATAGTCCTGTGCATCAGTTATGCAATCTGTAGCTTGATGACTTCATCAGAAGTCGGGGGAGGGCCAGGAGGTGGTAGGAAAAAGCCTTCACCATCAGCTCTGCTGGAGACATCTGATGTCTGCATGTCCCCCCCAGAGCAAGGAAAGTGGGAGCTCAGTGACAGGGGTGGGATCAGGGAGAAGTGGAAGGAGGCGCAGGGAGGGACCTTCCAAACCAGAGCAGATGTTAAAACAAGAAGGAACCTAAATACTGGAGAGAGGCCTTTCAGCAGAGAGCCCTTCAGGGAGTATCTGCACAAAGCAGAGATGTGGTCAAACTGTATTTTGCTGTTTCCTCAGAAGGGTGCTTGAAAACCTGACCTTCATGCAGAAAGGCCGATCCTAATTTCCCAGGCTATGCTCAAGCACTGATTTTAACCCTTTCACTGACTGGGTTGGGGCGGGTGTCATAAGATTACTTTTCCTGTATGTTCCCAATCTACACAGTAACTGGCATCACTGAAACTGTGAATGAAGCAGATGAATCTAAGCCTCGCACAGGTCCCCTGGCATGTTTTGCGCAAAGGATCCTAGGAGTGACAGAGGTCCTTCCCATCAAGTTCATGGGTTTGGATGAGCACCCATCTCTCTAAAACAGCAAGGTTCTAGTGAGCAAATGCTAAGGCCTTACCCAGCCTGGCGGAGAGCTGCCCAGCAGTGCCCAGGCCAGACAGGGTGCGTGGAGCCAGCCCCATGGTGAGGATACCGGCTCTGGGGCTCCAAGCTGCTCATGCTGGGGGGTGCAGAGAGCAAACATGGCCAGGAGACACGGTGGGGGTTGGGCAGTGCGGGGAGAACGGGTGCTGCTGGGTGGGACATAGATGAGAAGAGAAAAATCCTTCGGCTCTCTTACAGGAAGGAGCACCCGGAGTAAAGGCTGGGGACCGAGCGCTGCACCTGCTGCTTTGTAATACCCCCGGTCGTTATTGCTAAACACGGCCCTAGCCGCCCGCCCGCGTCTGAGCGAGGCCCCCCCGCAGCGCCTAAGGGAAGCGTTTCGTCCTTGCCTGCCCTGCAGCGGGGAGCCCCCGGCGGCTACGAGGGACAGCCCGGGGGCGGGTGTAAGGCGCTCCGAGCACCGCTGCAGACCCCCGCGGCCGGGTCCCGCCGTCCCCCGGCTCCCCTCGCCCGCCGCGCCGGTCCCCGGGCGGGCCGCGGGCGGGCAGCGACACCTGCCGGCGGGCGGCGGAGACGGGAGCCCGGGCGGGCATGGTGCTGGGGGAGAACCTGGCCCCCTGCCGGATGAGCTCCCGACCGCCCTGCAGCCTTGGGTGGGAGGGGGCGGCTGTGCGATCGCCCCTGGCCTTGTGGCGCTCCGTTTTCGCGGCGCTAAAAGGCAGCAAATTGAAACATCGAGAGAAAGGCGGGTGGGTTTAGGGGAAGGTGTCCGGGGCATCACCTGCCTGAGTCCTTTCAGCCGCATGCTGTTGGTCCGTTGCTGCAGGATAGAAACCTCAAATAAAACACATGATGTGCTTAAATCCTGAGATTCTGGTGCAGTATAGGGGGAAATTAATGCTGCCAGCTCCTGCTGTTCGTTTTGTGTGTCTAAAACCTCAGCTCCTCAGTCCAGAGAACTGTGTGAAACTGCTGCTTGCGAGAAAGGGAAATGGAGAGAAAATACACTTGTCTCCATGATGGGGGAGAAAAAGTTTAGAAAAACATGACTCTGAAGTTATGTGTCCTGAATGGTACCCAGCTTTATCATTGTGTTATTAATGAGTGGCAAAGTGCTTTTGCTTTATCTGCCAGGGGTTTTGCCCTCCGGGAGAAAAGAGGAACCTGCTGCTCAGTCGCTGTGAGCTTGGTCATAAGCATCTTTCCAAGGACTCTTAATTTCTTCAAGCTCTAGTCTTCACCCATAAACTCAATGCTTGTTCTTAATGAGCCTTTATTTCCTTTGCCTACGGATCACCATGAGTAATGAGGCCTTCTTTCTCCCTTTGCACAGGAGCAGCATCAAGTGGGGTTGTCCCGGACCGCGGGGCCTATGCAGCCTTCTGTCCCACCGGGCTCCAGCAGCGTGGTCACAGGCACGAGCTCTGGGGGTCCCTTCCTAGGAAACCAACCTCAAGCAGCCATCATGAAGCAGATACTGATTGAGCAGAGGGCCCAGCTCCATGTGATAGAACAGCAAAAACAACAGTTTCTAAGAGAGCAAAGGCAGCAGCAGCAGCAGCAGATCCTGGCGGAGCAGGTACAGTACCCATTTGTCTCAGGTGCTGCAGAGCATGCTGATGTTTGAGCATGAGCACTCCAGGCAGTGCAATGCCAGTGCTTCTTTCTGTGTTTGGAAGTGCTCTCTCTGTAGTTCCCATCGTGGTATTTCAGCGAATGTTTTCAAAGAGGCATCTGTCTCAGGCCTACCATTAGCTTGGCAAATATTACCCATGTTCCCAGGGGTGAGCTTGACAGTCACATGGGATTTTAGACACCGGAAAAGTCAGCTCCAAGGGGAATGGCTTTAAACTGAAATAAGGTAGATCCAGATTAGACATTAGAAAAAAATTCTTCACTGTGAGGGTGATGAGGCACTGTCACAGGTTGCCCAGAGAAGCTGTGGCTGCCCCATCCCTGGCAGTGTTCAAGGCCAGGTTGGATGGGGCTTGGAGCAACCTGGTCTAGTGGAAGGTGTCCCTGCCCGTGGCAAGGGGGGAAGGAACCAGATGATCCCCCATCATGGGTGAGGCCCATTCAAGAGCCAGTCATGGGCTTGGCTGCTGAAGGCAAACCTGAAAGTGTTGAAGAAAATACAAGGCTGAGGCTAGCAAATGTGCTGAGGTAGATGAAAAGCAACAGTCACAGTGCTCAGGCTTCTAGCTTTTGGGTGTTTTGTGCCTAACAAGGTTCCCTTTACCTTTTTGATAACACATATTTATGAACATAGGGATTAGTACTTGCTTCTTTCCCATCTTTGCCGCTCTCTTACTTCCATCACACATCCTTGGTTTTGAACACAATGTTTGTACAGCTGCAGATGAAGCACCAAGACGTGTCCTTTCAGTAAGTGCTTAGTTGAGTATACCCTAGGCTTTGAAATCTCTGGTAAACACACTCTCTGTTTTTATAATCAGCTCTTGATTCTGTTTTAGATGCATGAGTACTCATAGCAAATAACCACAGAGGAGCAGTGTGGGCTGGATCAAGGGAGGGAGGCCTTTTACCTGCTCCCCAAATACCATTACCTGAAGCACAATGGCCTCAATAGCCATTTCTGTTTTGGCTCAGGGCTGATCCTAGGCTGCAGTGCTGAGGTCAGGATTACTCCTTGCAGCTGAGTGTTTTGAGTGCCAAGGTGGAGGAAAGTCTTGTCCCAGGAACACAAATCCCTAAACCTTGGCAGGGCTGGGAGAGGGACAGGGTGTGCAGCTACAGTTGGACCTAGGTGAGCAAAGTTTATTCATATCCCTCCCTCTCCTTTCAGCCTGAAGACAGTGAAGTTCACACTGTAGAGGTCAAGATGAAGTGGCTGTAAGCAAGGAGAGATGATGTTAGCCTCAGTGCTTATTCCTTTCTGAACCAAAAGGACTCTGTGCTGAGTAGCCCAAGTGCTCTCAGGAGGACTCTTCAAATGGCTCTGCTTGTCTCTGCAGAGTGGCTTGTTAGATAAGAAATGCGGCAGTTCTGCTGCAATACTTTTGCCAGCAACCCCTTTCGCAGCTCACTAATTAACCATCTTTTTCTGTCTGCTCTCTTTCCCTTGTTCATTTCCAGCAGTTGCAGCAGCAGTCACATTTGCCTCGGCAGCACCTGCAGCAACAGCGGAGCCCATATCCAGTGCAACAGGTCAATCAGTTCCAAGGTAAAAGTCAAATTCTTTTTCCTATATTGGAGCCAACGTATTGCCCCTGTAGCAGGCATGCGAAAGCTCATGTATTTTGTGGACACCAGGGTTTAAGCAGTGTGCCAGAATAGGAAGACAGGCCATTGCACACTTGCACATACCACATGTTTTACCAAAGGGGAATGCCCAGGTTTGTGTGTTTAGTTGAGTTTCCAATTTCCCCTCTGCTCCCCTCAGCAGAAGCTGCAGTTGTTATTTGACATCTGTTTTGCCTCTTTCACATCTGGATCCTATGGTTTTATCTTGTTTGACTCAACTCTCATTACGCTCTTTTTCTTTCCCACCTAGTGTCTCTCACTGTATCTTGGTGTTAGCCCTCTTCATCCCCCACTTTATAGTTTGATAAGCAGAAAATTTCAGAGAGGTCATCCTTATCTGGAGAAGTGACTGATAAATGTGAGAAATATCTGTCAGTGAAATATCTGACATGGAAATGGAGGATTTTAATGAACTCAAAAAAGCTCAAAGAGTATTCAGTGTGTTCAGAGATAACTGAATAATGTAAGTATAGTCATTTTGGCTTAGAAAAATAAGTTAATTCTGAGCTTTTTTAGGTACAAAGCATCAGCTAAATGTCTTCACTAACCGTGGATTCTAAATAGACATGAAGCAAACATGCACCTGCCTGTGTAGTTATGATAGTGTCATGTAACTGCAAGAGAAACCAAGGAAGGCAAGCGGATTGCAGTTCTCCTACCCAGGAAGCCAACAGGCAGTCACATCTTCTGCCAGTATATATCAGAGTGGCTCCTTCTAATTGCCTTCTCATTCATCTTTGGCAGCATAAATTCTGGATAAAATTATTTTTTTCCCCCTAATAATGCATTTGCAAAATCCAAATATACGTGCACACTGCCACACATTGAGATGCACATGTAAAATCTTTCTGCATTAATGCTTCTTTGAAACCTTGCCTTCATATGTATTATTTAAAAGAAATGGAGAAGAGAGTTTAGGCTAATCTGACAGAGCAAGGAATTAATTTTCATAAATGAGCTGATTTAAATATAAATATTTCACTATTTTTCCTATTTTGTCACAAGGATGTAATCCTGTGCAGTAGGTTATGTGCAAATGAGACCAGAAGGTGGCCCAAAGTCTTAAAATCTGTTGCATCTCTCTTTTAACTACTCCTTGTCTGATCTCCTGTCTCTTATGCCAAACATGATAGTTAATGGAACTAGTGTGTGAACGACTTGCTGGTGGTGACTCCTTTGGAGGTGTTCAACTGCCATTTTCAATTTAAAAATAGCTGGAGATGCATTATGTAAGGGTTTGACATTGCCTGTATCTTCAGCGCTTGCTGGAGGCACTGTAAAATAAGGCTGCCTCTAATCACAGGAGAAGGAGGTGATCTAAATGAACAAAAATCAAGGGCACCCCAGTGCCAGTCATTATGGAAACAGTTTGCTATCATGGAAAAAGTAAAAGCTGCCACTCCGTTTGCCCCGTTCAAGCAAGATCCAGATAGTGTCTCTTCATGCTACAACGTGTTTCATTTATCTGTACACTGGAGCTAAAAGCATCCTCCAGAAGCTTATCCTGCTGTGACAGAAAGGCAGTGTAGCCATCCTGTTCATTATGTGCAAAACTGGAGAAATGGCACTTCCTTTCTTCATTCCCATTCCTCACAGAAGCCAGGCCAATGTAAATGACAGGGCCCAGTACTCTCTGTTCTCCATGGATGCTGTCTGCCACCAAGGAACAACACATAGGGACCAAGTTAAGAACACTCAGATTTTGTTGCACAGTTCGCGGCTCTTAAAACAACCATCTCATACTTACATCTTGCATTTAGTAATGTGTGAGCTGGATGTAATTGTGTGCCTCACCCTCTCACAGCTTCACTAGCAGGGTATTGTATGTAGTTGAGGATGGTAGTGACTCAAGGCCACAATGAACCCATGGCGTAATCAGAGCTCCAGTGATTGTTTTTAAATAACGACAGTAAATACAGAGGGATATTGGCTTCCCAGGGATCGATAGCTCCCGTCACCCCTGAAAGGAAGACACAGGGATGGTTCAGCTATCTGCCACGGTGTGGAATTTAACGAGGTTAGGATTTTCTGGTTTCCCATCACTGGCCTAAGGTGGAGTAAAATGTGCTTATACTATCGATTCAGTAATACACTCTCCCTGCTGTAAGTGTCCACAAAAAACAATTTTTCTTCTTTCCATGGACTTAATCAGTAACAATGATATAGAAAATCCATTCATTTATGCCTCCTGAGCTATTAAAAAATTGATTTGCCTTCTGAGTCTGACATTTCCATTTTCAAGGCTTACTTTTGAAAGACAATGGAGATATTTAAGAGAGAGCTTCAAATGGTAAACTGAAGTTCAGCTGCTTTGCTGCCATTGAAGACCACTGGAAGCTTCCTCACTTACTAGAAGCTGAATTAGGCTTATCTGAAGAAGATAAGTGCTACTGAATTACAGTGTGGATGCAACTTTGAAGTCTTAGGGACTAATTTTTTCATGGGGGAGGGTGCACATTGTCACTGGTCCTGGATGAAAAAATACACACAAAAGGAAAGAATCAGGTTTAGTTTTGAAAGGGCACTTTGACTCCCATGTCACTTCTTAAAACTTTAATCTCTGGTGCTAGTGAGGTAAGAGAAAGGCAGGCCTGTTTTAGTGCTGCATCTTCTGTGTCTGCCTAGCTCAGGCACCTGAGCAGTTATCATCAGGGAGGCAACCATGGCTATAATCATGCACTTGTGCTGCCTCAATTCTTCAAGAATCTGAAGCCATGAATCCCTTTGGGTGCATATCCCCAAATTGTCATAATTGAGAATTACTTAGAGAGTAAATCATTGACCTTTTAACCTTGCCAGCCTCATTTTAGGCCTTAAGGGAAATTAGCCTACTCGCCTGCATTGATGGTATTCTCTGCTGAGCAGCATACTGCTTCACAAGTAGAATACCTAATGCAGGCAGTGATTCTTGATTAGGGTAGCACTTGAGCTGTTTTGACTGTTGACTTCAAGGGGAGGGGACTTGTCAGGTCAAGACAGAGGCTGCAGCCAGTGTGAGGTGGGGAACGCATCACCTCTGAAATGCAACTAACATTAGGCAGCAAGCATACCTCCCAAGGATGGATAACCTTCTAGCTCTGCTAATCTCCATGGGAAACAATAACTTCTTCACTCAGAAAGCACAGCCATCTGAAATCCTGCTGTGGTGCAGAAGGCTGCTACAGATTCTCTGTTATCGTTAATTAAGATTTACAAGGTTGTGTTTTTTAATTCCCTTCCTTCCTTTTTGGTGTAGGTTCTCCCCAGGATATAGCAGCTGTAAGAAACCAGGCAGCACTCCAGAGCATGAGGACATCCCGAATGATGGCGCAGAACGTGAGCATGATGGCAATGGGTCCCTCCCAGAGCACAAGCACGCTGCCCTCGACCGCAGGCCAGTCAGACATGGGCATGGCTCCTTACAGCAACGCCTCTTCCAGCCAGCCGGGAATGTACAGTATGAGCACAGGGATGAGCCAAATGTTGCAGCACCCAAACCAAAGTGGCATGAACATGGCACATAGCGCAGGCCAGGGAACAAGGCAGCCTGCCTCTGGACAAGCGGTGGGAATGGTCGGCAATTTTGGTCAGAACATGATGGTAAACTCTGCTCTTCCCCAGCACCAGCAGCAGATGAAAGGAGCTGGGGGCCAGGTCTTACCCAGGCCACAAGCACCACGACTTCAAAACCTGATGGGGACTGTCCCTCAGGGAACACAAAACTGGCAGCAGCGAGGCTTGCAAGGTATACCTGGAAGGACTAGCAGTGAAATGGGGCCCTTCAATAATGGCACAACGTACCCAATGCAGTCTGGGCAGCCACGGCTGTCCAAGCACCATTTCCCACAAGGGCTTAATCAGACAGTTGTGGACACAAGTGGAACAGTAAGAGCCCTGAACCCAGCGATGGGAAGACAACTGCTGCAACCACTACCTGGGCAGCAAGGTGCTGGCCAGGCAAGGCCAATGGTGATGCCTGCAATAAGCCAAGGTGTCCCCACGATGTCTGGCTTTAGTCAGCCTCCAACGCAGCAAATGGCAGGTGGTAACTTTGCTCAGAGCGGCCCAGGGCAGGCCTACGAGAGGAATCCCACTCAGGACTTATCTTACAATTACAGTAATGAAGGAGCAGGGGGGTCATTCTCCAGTTTAGCCGAGGGCGCAGACCTTGTAGACTCCATTATTAAGAGTGGACCAGGGGATGAGTGGATACAAGAACTTGATGAGCTGTTCGGAAACCCCCAGTGAATGGGCTTGTATAGTCTGGAGCTTTGGTTGTTCCATCTGAAAAAGCAAAGAGAGTTGGATGTCTCCCCATCCTTGGATTGTTGGAGTTTTTGTTTGAATTGGTTTGGTCTGGGGTTATTTTGTTTTCTGCTTGTTTTTTTTTTATTGTGCAAACTGAGCTGATCTGTAGCCAACTTTGGAAGATTCAGGGATGATGAAAACATCGACATCCCAGGACTTCCACCAAGCAATCTGTGTTGCGTGGCAGCACCCACTGTGTGTGTGGGGAGCAGGGGGCAGGATGGGGAAACTGGAAAAGCCAGCTGATGCCTCTGGTTGGGAAAAAGTGTTCTTTCCCACTGAAACAAGGCTTCATTGCACAGTGGTGTGGGGTGGTCCCAATCTCTCCCACCTCATGTAACTGTAAACACTGCAGCTTTCAGGGGAGCAGATGAAAACAGGCAGGAGCAAAGCCTAAAGATGTCCATGAGTGATTGCACGAGCCCTGGTTGGAAACAGGTTTAATCCCAGGAGCAGGCAGGTCTTGGTGAGCCATAGCCAGGCCCACAGGGCTGGCTCTGGGCTGTCACAAGGAGATGTGAAGCACACACTTGACAAACCTAAACAGTCACAGGGAGGTCACCATTTTCACCACAGAGTGATAAAAATCCAATAAAGGTGTAGGAGAACATGAACATGGCAGCATGGTGAGGACAATTTGGTTATGGGACTGCTGCTGGATATGGCTTAGGGGGGTGGGTTAACTTAATGAACTGATTAATCCCCTTGGGACTCACAATAGTGCTTCCTTGTCAGAGTGCTTTGGCACATATCTGTTGCCTGGGGATGCAGAACAGCAGCTATGAGTGGTGTTGAAGGGCTAAGAGGTACCAAGAGACATCAGCTCAGGTCCTCAGCATGTTGCTCTCTCTCGTTCCTCCCGAGTATGTTTTCAGTTCACTTCCTTCCCTTCTTATACTTCAGTGTAAAGCAAGGTGAGTTGGCTGCACTTTATTCAGGTGAGCAACAACTGCCACAAAGGGGCAGGCAGGGGAGGAGAAAACAGTCAAAAGAAAATGTACAGGGAGGGTTTGGCATGTGGAATGAGTTCCTCCTCTCCTCTTGAAAAGCGCAAGTTTGTCAGGCAGGATTACCCTGGGGTGTGTGGGCTATCGATGTGGCATTATATGCAACCTGAAATCAGTTTTAAACAGATGTTTGGTTTAATCTCTCTGGTTTGCTGGAGTAAAGTTCACTGCAGTATTGGAAGAACAGGGACCAATGAAGGACTACTGTAAAGGTCATTGACGAATGGGTAAAATCATTGATGTAGTTATTACAAACATGGGGTCTGCCCAAATAAGCTGTTAGTTAATACCAATGTATTCACTGTCTCCACTGTGTGGACAAGTGCTGAGCAGCACTACAATGAAGTTGTGATACGTCTTGCACACTGAGGCGTCAGCCATTCTGAATGTCTAAAGCAGCAGTTCCCAAGCTGCAGCCTAAGGCCGAGGTAAGCTGTCCTCCAAAACTGACCACCTTGCAAGTGTTTTCAACTGTGAGCTGTTTACCAGGTTATGTAGTGGTGCATAAAATGTTAATGTGATCCATAGTCAAAAAAATTTGAGAACCTCTGCCCTAATGTTGGCCTCTGCAAGTCTTAAGATGTGCTCTGCAGTGGAAGTGCCTCTGGTACCACTGCCTACACCAACTGCCCAGCTACCAATTACCTCCTTGTGCGCTGCTCTACTTGGGGCTGGCGATGTGAAGTGCTGAAATCCAGGGATGCTGAGGAGCTTGGCATCCTGTGTTTTCAAGTCCTGCCTTTCCCTGTGGAGCACAGACATGCATCACATTAAGGGAGTATGAGAAAAATGGGCCTGGAACCACCTCAGAACCCTGTTATGGTTCTCTTTTGTGCAGTAACCCCTTGCAGGGCTTACCTAGGTGAGAAGTGTCTTTTAAATGCTATAATTCAGACAGGGCAAACTGCACTTTTTAAATGCTTTAGTTACATCTCTTTTAGCTAACCCCTTTTTAAAGCACAGAGTGAGGACCTGTTCCAGTTCCTGCTGAAGGTGATAGAAGTCTTCCTGTCCACTGCTTCAGCAGGAGCCAGGGCAGCCCCTAATTCAGTGAAGGAGAGCACCAGCCACAGTTTTCAGTCCATCTTATGGGTAAGCGGCTCTTGGTGGATGGAAGAGACAGGCAAAGGAGAGAAACGGTACCCTGAGGGGATGAGGGCATTGTGCGTGTGTGTCTGTGTGAGTGTGTGGGTGAAAGGAGAGATGGGCTGGTGTGGCGCAACCTGTCCTGTGTGGCAGAGGTATGCCGGGATGAGGAGGCAGTGAGCCGACAGCACTGAGGCTGGCACAGCATTCCTTCCTTGGGTGCCAGTGATCAGGGGTCGCCTGCCAGCACAGAGCTGCGCAGTGCGGGGTTAGAAACACACAACCACCAAGTGCAAATCCGTGTGTGTCAGGGAGATACGGGCTTTGGTGAATAAATAGTGGTGAAGACTGAGTCTCTGTTGTCTTTGTAAAGCTTCCTCCAAATACTCTGTTCCGGGACCAACTACTACTATTAGATTTGGGGTTTTTTTTCTTTCTTACTATGGTGCTGATGTATATGTAATGTTAAAAAAAAAAAATAAAAGTTATTTGTAAATATGTTTTTACAATTCTACAGATATCTCTGGGTCTACTATCTGTAAAATATATACATATAAAAATATATATATATACTGTTTGTTTAAAATAGAGTATTTTTATTTCATTCCTTAACTCATCCTTACTGCAGTGGTATTGCACTTCAGATGACGTCTAATTACTAATTTGTACTGTATCCCTGACAGCAACTTGCTCCATTTTACTCAGATTTTTCTAGTTTTCTGTTTTTACTTTGTACATTAAGCATTGCTTATTTCCTCTTAAGACCTGTACAGAGCTCTGGAAATGTAGAGAAAGACCTGATGTTAACGTACCACTTTTAAAGAAAAACAAAACAAAACAAAAAAAAAGAACACCCCAATAAAAGATGGTTATCTGACTCATCTACCAGGCTGGCTTATAGGGTCATCTCGCCCCACTCCTGCGCCACGGTGGGTGATGTTCTGGGGGGAGGAGGGAAGCCAGATCCAGAGCTGCCTGACTGCACCCTGCAGAGCTGCCCTTGCCTGCCCAGAGTCAGGTTGTTACAGGCAGGGTACAGCCTGTGCCGGGTGTACTGGAGCAGCTCACAACACGGAGGGCCCGGGGGGCAGGAGTCCTGTCCCTGAGATCTGGGGAGGGGAAGTGAGGGGGAAGAAAGGTGCAGGGTTGGACGTAGAGCTGGAAAGAAGAGATGGGGGAACTGACGGAGTGTGAAGACACATGCTTAGAGTAGTTCCCTACTTTCCACTACTACAGTGTGAGAACTGTGTTGTCAGAAGCCCATTGGAAAGCGCATTAGACCTGTTGAATTTATATAAATTAAGATAAACATGCTGCGTGGCCTCAAGGCTCAACACTGACTGCCCTGTATCTCCAGCCTGCCAGGGAGTCATGGGGAATCAGGCACTGGATCTCTGTTTGCACAGCTTGCTCCTCAGGATGTAAGTGGGGCTTGGTTCCATGTACCACCTTTAAGGTGAGCTTGCTCTTCTCTCCTTAGTGTCAGTCCTTTGCCATTCATTCTAGATGTGGAAAATGGGGCAAAAGAAGGAGGCTGGCACAGATCAGAGCAGTTTGCCAGAGCTCCTCCTCAGCATTTGCTGGCAGAGCCTTTGCTGAGAAAAGATGCTTTCAGCAAAGAGGCCCCTAAGTACTGACTGGCTCTGAAGCTGCAGCAGGGACCATCATCATTTCTGACTGTGACTGACAGATGAACATTTGCATCAACTCACAGTGTATGCTGAGTGTGCAGCTTGACACTGACTCCTCCATCTGCAGGCAGGAAATGGTGTGGCTCTCACTAGATTTAAACTCAGTGCTGAATCTGACAGCATCCATTTATTACAGGTGTATTTTGTCTTTAATTATAGAGGAGTCAGTCTTCAAGACTTCCGCATTGTAGGCATTCTGTCCTGGCTTAGTGGGGAAAAAGACTCAGAAGACAGGTGGGATCCTCAGCTCTGGGCTGACTTCTGCCCTCTCATTAGCTGGTACAGCTCCTAAAACATTAGGTTCATGTTTCTTCCCAGCACTCTAGATTTGTGCTGCTGGATGATACTTTGCAGCCTCACACCTGCATTTCTTGGCATGTAACATTGTCCCTGTGTGACAGCAGTTTACTCCTTTCTATGGAATAGGACAGAACAGCACAGACTAGACTAGTAGATGGGGCATGGCAAGCTGTCTATAAACATGCCAGAAACTACAGCAGGTAAGCTTGGAATGGGATAACTTCAGAGGGAAAGACATATTTGATTACAGCTAGCCACCTCTGGGCCTCCTCTGGTAGGTATTTCATGCCTGTTGGGTAGTTTGGGCTTCTGTTTTGGTTTTGATAGTGGTGACAGCACTTTCTTCTGCCAGTGACCATTTGACAGCACCACTGGCAGGTGAGCAGGTGGATTTTCTGTCTTTCAGCCCATACAAAGAAAGGCAGTGGAAGTATTCCTGGTGATTTCTGTGGTGGTTAAATCTGGCCCTGTCGTGCTTTCTCCGTGGAGGTAAGTACTGGAGAGTTGCCCTTTCTGCAGCTCTATCAGCTCCAGCCTGTTCATGGTTCACCACCATGATCTGTCTTTTTCCCCTTGGCTGACATTATTGAACCCAAGTCTTGCACCTTTGCACTTGTTTCATTCTGTTGTTTCAAATGTCATTTCAGCCTTTGCCACCCGCAGGCACTAAGTTGTGTCTTTTAATCACAACCTGTTTCATTTGAAAGGTTATTATGAACCTGATCCAACAGAACTGTTTTCTGGTCAGGTTATCAACGACAATATACTTCAAGAAAGGCCATAAACATATTTAGGTTTGATACTAGGAAGAAGTTCTTCACTGTAAGGGTGGTGAGGCCCTGGAATTAGTTGCCCAGAGAGGCTGCAGATACCCTGTCCCTGGCAGTGTTCAAGGCCAGGCTGGATGGGGCTTGGAGCAGTCTCGTCTAGTGAATGGCAGGGGCGGTTGGAACTGAATGAGCTTTAAGGTCCCTTGCAACATAAACCATGATTCTGTGATTCAATGATGTTCATTATATTGACCTGACTGAACACCACTGTAAGTGTGCAGTATTTTGGCCAAATCATGTCTTCAGTGGCATGACGAAGAAAATCTCTGCCTGCTGGCCCTAGCGTGACTATATTCAACATTGCCTAAATAGTCGGGATTATCAGGAGGTACCAAAACAGGCATGACCTTGCTTCTCTGTTCTTCCACATAGTTTAAATTGACCATCAGCATACTTTGAGCTCATGGTGGTAAGCCATGCCTTTCCCCCCTTTAGCAGCAAACTGTTTTCATAGCCAGTTTGCTTTTCATTGTCATTTTATGATTCCCAGAGCTGTGGCCATGCTGGGATGTTTGTCTAGTCTGTCTCACACCCCAGCCATCTGTGCCTCAGGGGGAGACAATGCAGTAGACCCAATTGTTAGGCAAGCATCTGTGCTGCCTTTTTGTCTGGGCTGGCTCTCCCTCTCACAAGTGCTGCACTGCGGGTACAGCCTGTCTTCAGGAGGCTTTGTGTCAGGACTGGGATCTGCCTACAGGAGGGCCCCACTTCTACCAGAAGAGTGTTTGAGCATGTGTTGAACTGTAAACGTGCATATAAAATCAAAAGGGCTTCACTAGGGTCAAGTGCAGCTTTGAATGTTTTCCTGAAGAAAGCGGTGTTTCCAGACATGTTTAAACAGCCTCCTGCAGTGGGACTGGATGTACTTGGAAAACTGGGAACCTCGCAGCCACGTATCACATCGCAGTGTGTTTTTACAGTTGTGCAGAATGGATGGCACTGCTGGGAGAAGTAAAGAGGAGTAAAGGAACACTACAGAAGCATTGGCAAAGCTGAAGGACATTGGGTAAGAAAGATGGGCTGATGCTCACAGTGCCAGTTGTAACTAAATTAGGAATTAATGGCTTTAGTTTGATGTAATTTGTTGAGGGTTTACTATACTGTGTGGGAAAACAGGACATTTAATTGCAACTGCAGATGTGACATGATATTCTGTCTTACTGACTTTTTCCAGAGTGTAGGGGAAGGAGAAAACACATACAGCTCAAGAAAAACATGCATTTTCCATTGCAATGGGCTGTTAGTAAAGAACTTTGAAGCTTTATTCACATGCAGCTTATCATTTTTTGCTGTTCAGGGAAAGCATCCATGTTACTTATTTATTAAAACAAAAATATTCAGAACCATTTACGGAGTTTCTTCATAATGCTGAAGTCCATGTATTCATCCAGAAAGCTGTTACCAATCCCTGCTGCACCCAGGGTTACCAAGCAAGTTAGAATTATCAAACTGAAATAAAACCCTGTTAACCTAGAAGTGGAAAGCAGAAAGATACTGTTAAGAGTGGTACATGGTATGTTTACAGTGAAGCTGCTTGTCCACACCAATTAAGAAGAGGTGTGTAGAATCATACAGGATCACTGCTGCAACGCTATCCTGCGATGTTTTGGTAATGAACCATTCCCACATCCAGCTGTTGCTAGGGAGGAAAGAGACTCCCAGTGTCCTCTCTTTGGGAAAACTCTCCCCAGTGTTTCTAAATATTCACATAGAAGTTAAGAACTTGCTCCAGGATGAAGCTACCTCATCCCAGTACCATGAAGGCCTGCAGGTAAAGCCACAAACAAGCTTGAGCACCTCACCACAACTCTAGGTGCAGGAATGTGGGAGAGAAGCCTTAGGGACAGAGGGGGAGCTGTCTATATCTCTTACATCCACATCTGTCAGTCGGGTACTTTCCACTGAGCTGGGAGGTCTGCTTCTGGGTTATCACTTTGACTTGGAGACTGATTTTTGCACCAGAAAAGGAAGAGCATTGATCCTAAAAAATCAGTGATTCAGGTACTTGCCAGGGATGGAGAGGATCAGGCTATTTTATTTGTACAAAATGGAAAACTCCCACAGAAGAGGCTGGGAGAGCCCTTCAGCTCTGCAACACTTTTTGAGCACATGTGAGCAGGGAGCTTCCCCTCCATGCAAACTCTCTCGGGTCTGCTCTCTGTTGCCTTGGTGCAGACTCTGGTGTGATAGGTGTATTTTAGGATTTGCTGCTGGGTTGGCCTCTGCCAGCAGAGCAAGCAACAAAAGGTGTCTTTGGAGAATCCCATCACATCAGTATTAGAGAGAGGTCTGGGGAGCTCATCAGCCTTTGTTTTATAGCTACCTTATATATACCTATACCTATATCCCCTTATCCACAGAGGTCGAAGAGATTAGGTGCTCAGGGAGCCTAAGAATCTCTCTGGTGCCTAAAGACTTGATCTAAGTAGTCTTTCTGGGCATGCTGCATCTATATGTGGATTTAAAAATGGTGAAGTACAAGATTTTCTCAGTTTCAGGAGAGTATGAAAGAAGTCTTTAGCTGAGCCCTTTAAGTGTCTGTTCGAGCCAGCTGGACAGAAGGATAGAGGATACAGCTATCCTTTTGCAAAAGTCACTCCAGCACAGAAACCAAGTAGAAGTGCATATTCCTGCTGTGTTCTTAAAAGATCCAGCCCTGGCAAATCTGAACTGCAATTCATGTAGTCAAGTGCTGAAGGAAGCATCGCAAACCAGCTCTTTGAGCGTGTGGAGCTGGTTTGTCTTTATAATCAGCACGGCTGTAGTCAGTGATTTCAGCTGAGAATCGGTGTGAAGACTAATTACCTCTGTGCTGGTAGTGCTGCTGAAGGCTTCTTGTATGTTTGGGGCCAGGTTCTGCCTGCCTGACTTGTGCTGACCTGTAGCTGAAGTACCCACTGGAGGTTAGCAGCAGGCAGGCCTGCAGCGGCAGACCTCGTGAGCAAAGCCATTTCCTAGGGCTGCCAGGCTGAATCTTGGCACCCTCTATTCTGCAAAGATATCAGAGTCTCACCATAATGCAGAGCTCTAACAGTGAAGCCAGCCACTGTTCTCAGGCTTCCTTGAGAGGTTGAATCTATTGGTCTAAGAGTACTGAAGTAAAGCATGGGGAAGGTACCTAAAGAGGCCTACAAAAAAGCTGGAGAGAGACTTTTTACAAGGGCAAGTATAGATACAAGAGGGAATGGCTTTAAATTGACAGAGGGGAGATTTAGATTAGATATTAGCAAGAAGTTCTTCCCTGTGAGGGTGGTGAGGCACTGGCACAGGTTGCCCAGGGAAGCTGTGGCTGCCCCATCCCTGGCAGTGTTCAAGGCCAGGTTGGATGGGGCTTGGAACAACCTGGTCTAGTGGAAGGTGTCCCTGCCTGTGGTAGGGTGGTTGACACTGAATGATCTTTAAGGTCCTTCCCAACCCAAACCAAAACCATTCTATGATTCTGTGATGATTCTATGATTTCTTAAACAAAGGACTTGCTAGTTTGTTGATTAGAGTCTGTTATGCTCTACTTGTTCATTTATTTACATGGGTTTGCTCCCCAGACTTCTTTAATAGTTGCCAGTCTTGTGGCTGGTGTACACTGCATTGTTTGAATTAGAGCAGCTCTTAGTGGGAGATACAAAATTATCTCCATTTATTTGCTCTGGCAAACATAGTCTCTCCCTTCTCTTAAGCAACAGGTCTTCTAAAGAGGGTAAAGGGCTAGTGGAGACTGTAGTGAAGGAGAATGGGAACACTGGTACACAAGCTATAGAAAATAGCCCAGTATTACAGTCTTTTGTTGCTGCAGGATCATTCACTACAAAATAGTCTGATGTTTGCTATCTTCCTCTCGTAATATACATCACAATTCTTTTAATTTTACGATGAGTGTGTATTGTGTTATTTCCTTTTTATGACTGATACGTATGCTGGAAGAGGAGACTTAGGTCAGGACACAGAAGATGGTGCAGTGGCTTCAGTGAAACAGGAAATATACAGTGTGTTTGAGTGTTTCTAGTGGAGGGGTGTTTTACCAGTGTGCACGTTTGTTGAAGCAGAATTCATGTTTACGAGATGCTGTGCACTTGTAAACATGAATTCATTAACATGTTTATCTGAAGCTGTGTTCTCTTATCTGCTTGACAAAAGTTCATCAGCCTACAAGGCCAGATTTGCTTGCATTTTGTGTGGCTAGAGTAAAGCTTAATGTGACAAGCTGAAGAAAAAGGAAAATCTCAGCAGATAGGCACAATGCAAGCCTTGCCAGAGCAGTCTCCCGTTCATTCTACGGCAGTCCTGAGCTGCAAAACTGCTCTTCTGTTTTCAGACCTCTCCAAGTCTGGCTGTCGTTCTTCTCAGTACAAAGCAGGCACCCACAAGGTGAGCATCAGACCTTTTCCCTCTTGTGACCTGTAGCACAGGCACAACTTAACCTAGGCTTCTATTGTAACAGCCAGCCCTCCTCCTGCTTCAGACCTCTCACTGACACTTTACACGTGTTGCATTCAGTTATAGTCACTTCCCATTGCCAGCCCTTGGCTCTCAGCCCAGCTTCAGACCACAGCCTGGAGCTTTTAACCTGCATTCAGTTGGTAACTCCTTACCTTCCTTTCACAGACAGTATGTAACCACAGAAGTACTTGTAGCGGGCAAACATGTACAGCACACCCAGAAAGGAAGCTAATTCTAATGAAGAAAAGATAGTAGGGAAAAAAAAAGTTAGAAAACTTCAAAATGAGTATTGTGAACACTAAAGTAACCATTAGGGTTAACCACTTTAATGATGTTTTCTATTTATATAGCTCTGGAGATTTTCATAGCTACCCCTACCCTGGGAGGTTCTTTTGGGAAAGAATTAGTATGTATGTATCCTTAAACATTCATTGCAGGAGGCTCTTGATATGGGTTTACAGATAGAGGTGGTCATAGGACTGTCCAGAAAAATCTCAAAGCATTCCCAGAAAAGCAGCTCTAAAGACCTGACAGGAACCTGTAGCTCCCCCCCCCCCAGTTTGTCAGTTATCCCAGAGACAGAATAGTGGGCTGGAGCACTGTGGCTTGACCCAGCACTGTCATTTCTTATTGTTATGGCAGTTCATGCTAAAGGGGAGTGTTTGTTTTGGAAAGAGAATCTTATTTATGTTGTTAATAACCTGCTTTGCATTTATATAGCAGCTTTTATCCAAGAACATGAGAGAAGGCTGTAGTGAAGTTAGCTTTCTGGCCTCCCTGAGGGAAGAGTATAAAGTCACCTCCATTTGATAGATGGAGCAGGGTGTGTAGGTCAGTTGTATTATCCAGGACTAAGCAGTGCTAGTTAATTCTGTGTTCTTTCAAACACTGTGAGCAAGTATTACAGAGGACAGCTTTTACTGTGCTCTGGATTAACTCATATAAACATGCCTATAGGAGATACTCAGCTGAAAAAATGATTTAGAGGGGAGGTTAAAGCAATCATTTTTTTTTACATGTGACAGCATCGTCTGTGTTGCTGGCTAGCAACTGTGATCTTCTTTGATTCAAGTGTCATTACTTCACATGCAATTTGTTGACTTAAGTGGTACTACTTTGAGTTTACATTGGATTTGCAAAAGAGATGGGACTGTAGCTATAAGAAAGCCTCAAAACAAAATGACATTTAGAAGAAAGCTTGAGAAAGGATGAAGCGGGCATGAGCTAGTTATCCTTTCTCCAGCCCTCAGGCTTCATGCTTCTAAAAACATCAGCTGGGGAAGGTTTAAGAGAGCAGAGTTCAAAAGAGGCTCTGTCAAAAGTTTTGGTTCTATCAGAGTCCATCCCATGACTGTTAGGAGATAGCATGGACCGACCTTCAAAAGACCAACAGAGTGAGAGGTATGAAAGCTCGGTGGTGTCTGAGCTCAGAACATATGGTAAAAAAAATGCCCCCCCTGACAGGTGCCTGGGAAAACACAATAGGTTTTCAGGAGTCCCTGCTGCATACAAACAAATGAGTCATAGCCCAGTGGTAGTGTCATTCATCTGGGATGTAAAATCCCAAAGCTTTCCTGGCTTGAGCTCTGTCTCCACCAACCGGGGTCCAGCCACAGGGACGAGTGCTCTGACCCAAGTCTTTTCAGGCTGCCTTCTCCCAAGGGACGATAGCTATGCTTGATGTCCTGGTAGGACTGTGCCATAATGTGCAAATAGTTGCTCAGGGAAGCATCTGGGAGCTGCTTTTCTGAATGATTCACCCTGAAAATCCACTGACTGTATGACAGATGTGCCACATACTGGCTGCTTGGTTTGCACAGAAGTAAAAGCTGGTGGGACTATGTGAAATGCCATGGCTAAGTGGGGATTTCAGTGTCATAGAGCACTATTCTATGAAGGCTGTGCTAAGACAATGCAATTAAAAGGAGGGGAAAAGATGTCTACAGCAATGTGCCTTCTTATAAAATTAAAGTGTTTTAAAAAGTTATGTAAAACTTCTCGGACCAAGATAAAAATGAGAACTGTTCACCTTGATTAAAAAACCACCCTGCAGTCCAGAGGGCAGTCAGGAATATTGGGTAAAACTCCACACAGTTTTGTCTGCAGAATAAATTTGAAAGAACATCATTAGTCTGGAATGGAAAAGAACTATGGGTGGGATTTTCAAAGAGAATCAGCTTTGGCCTTATTTTACTGCCACTGAAGTGAATGCTATTGAATCCAGTGGGAGCATAATCAAGCCAGAATTAGGCACTCTTAAAAAATTTTCTTCTTTTTAATCTCAAATACAGATTGTTTGAAATATTTTCCCGGTACTAAAACTTGGACAAGGGTCTAGGGTCTGGATCCCAGCTACATTGAAATCAATGGGACAAATGATCCTGAACCAAGTGCCTTTGCAGCAGAGGCAGGCACGAATTCCAGCACATGAATGTGATGTTAATCACTTCTCTCCATACTCAGTATGCAAGTTTATGGGTCAGCATTCCCGGGCCTGCAAGAGGAAGCAGAGAGCTGTGCGTAGGCAGCTTGGATTGCTCTGCTGAGGCCAGCTGCCTTATGAAGTGCTATCAGGCACAGACAGCTCATGATAGATCTTCTTACGGCCAGGACCATAACAACTTTGTGGGCATTGTCAGTTTTCCCACCAATGCCTTCTTGGTTGTTCTGAATTAATTTCTTTTCAATTCATTAGGCAGCCTTCTATATCTAACATGTTCTGTTGTCTAACGTGTTGTCTGATGGCTATGCCTCATTATTGTTAACCACTACAGCTACAGCAGATAGAATTGTTTGAAATAAATATAAATACTTTTGCATAGGGTCATTAGCTAATCACAGACTGAAGCCCTTTAGGAAAACAGTCTTCTTAGACAGGCTGTTCCACTGTTACTTACTGTGAAGACAGAGGTTTTCTGTGCTCTTGTCTTCCAGAGTTTGATGTCAGCCACAATCCAAGAACTGACAGCACAGCTTGCTAAATCCAGAACATTTGCATTCCTTAAGTTACAACCCATTAGCTCTCAGCCCCTGCTCAGGTTTGGGTAATCTAACTGCCTAGTTTGATCAGAATTTGAGCAGTGACTGTTTTAAATGAGTTAAACTTACCCCTGAATGGTTTGAAAAGCAACCTGCTCATAATTTTTCTGTATTTCCTTTTGAGCAAAGGATGCAAAGAAAAGGAAACATTTCAAGACAATGTTTTTGCTTCTCTTCTGGACTGAATTGTTATTTATTGCCACCAAATTAATGATCTTGGGACTTACTGTGCACGAAATGTTCTGTCAAATTCTGGAGCTCCAGTGACAGCCGGGGGGATGACCTTGTGCTTCATTCTTGATTTCCCCACCAGCCAAGCAAAATGACCTGCAAGCAAGAATAAGGGCTCATGAATTACACAGTTCTTTGATTCAGACGCACCCCTAACATGTCAGTAATTTTTAAAAGAGAGATCATTGTTCTGCAGCTCTTTCCATTCCATTTGATAGAGACCAATAGAAGAGAAACTGTTTTTTTCCTACAGAAGTCTACATCTTAAGAGTGACACTCACAAGGAAGGGGGGAAATTGCTCTTTCAGGAATACATTCATTCTCTTTTTGTATTTGCTGCACTTGCAGTGACTTCAATATCTTTCTGCCTCACCTGAATCCTAGAGCTACACAGCCTAGGAGCAGTCCAGTCACACTGCAGTGGCACTGAGCTGCCTTAGCAGTACCTCAGTAACCAAATTGCACTGACAGAGGTGCTTGCTTGACGAACGTACAGTCATTTTGATTTAGTGACACTAAGAGCTGTGATGCTTTGAACTAAGGGGCAGTGTTACATCTTTGGAAACAAAAATCAGCTGCTTTTTTAAGGTTATTTACCCATATCTTATAGCACATGCATTTCCATCTATTGTCTCGAACTCTCAAAATACAGCATGTTGGAAAGAGCAGAGAGCTGCAGCTGGGGAGACTGTATCCTGTTCCCTGCTCTCCACCTCATCTGCTGGAGGGCTCTCAGAGCTATCTGTTGCAGACCTATGCTGTTTCCACCTCCACTCATTGGACCTGAAAGTATTTACCTGTCTTGTAAAAACCATTTTTAGAGCTCATGCAGTGCAATGAAGAAGACAGGTTCTTACTGTACAGTGACTAAATATCAGTTACAAAAAAAAACCAAACCAATCAAACACTATCTCTGCTCTTCTGATCTGTATTTCTAAGATCACTTCTGATGTATACATGTGTACCTCATTTTACTGATGTCCTTATTGCAAAAGTCTCCCCTTCAAAGTTGAACAAAGGCTTGCAAGGACAAAAGGCAATAGGCAGCGATTTTCAGTATGCAGCAGAGCTATTAGGCATCACCCTGTCTGATTTTAAAATTCTCTGGGTACCTGGAGTTATTTTTCCAGCCATGTCATAGCCACCCTCTATGAGACACCTCTTGCTGTCTGTCTTGTACGTAAACTTTTCCTGAATCCAGAAACCAGGCACCCACCTGAGTTCACTAAAAAGACTTGTCTAAAGGGGAAGCCTGGAGCACACCTTCTGTCCTCCCTTCTGGGAGCAGTGGCATTAAAATACAGCTGGAGAGCTTAGTGGTGCTGCCCTGTGCACTTCTTACGTCTTAGCCTTGTGGCAAAGCCTTTTCCGAAAAAAGCATTTTCCCTCCTGTCTTCTCCCCATGTAAGTAATTACGGGCTGTGCTCAAGTGACCTCTTACCCTTGCTCTCCAGAGACTAAACAGAGCATCTCAGGATCTCTCTGTGAGGCAGGTTTACAGGACCTTTCACTGTATTAGCATCGAGCAAGACCTCCTCTGCTTCCACCCTCGCATCTCGTGTTATGCCTGGTGATTCATCTGTTATTTGACACCTTCTAGCCCTTCAGAAAGGAAAAATGGTAGCAGGGAAGGTTTAGGAAACATGCTTCAGGGAGACTGAAACACATGGATTCACAAGAATTACCTCTGAGAAATATTTTCCAGGAAAACTTAACTGAAAAGTTGCTTTTTAACTTCTGTCACCCTCAAAATAATTTATTTTTCATGACAAATGCTACTATGTCCTGGCAAATCATAGAATCACAGAATAGTTAGGGTTGGAAAGGACCTTGAGATCATCTAGTTCCAACCCTCCTTCCATGGGCAGGGACACCCTCACACTAAACCATGTCACCCAAGGCTCTGTCCAACCTGGCCTTGAACACTGCCAGGGATGGAGAATTCACAGCTTCCCTGGGCAACCCATTCCAGTGCCTCACCACCCTAACAGGAAAGAACTTCTTCCTTATATCCAATCTAAACTTCCCCTGTTTAAGTTTTAACCCGTTACCCCTTGTCCTATCACTACAGTCCCTAATGAAGAGTCCCTCCCCAGCATCCCTATAGGCCCCCTTCAGAAACTGGAAGGCTGCTAGGAAGTCTCCACGCAGCCTTCTCTTCTCCAGGCTGAACAGCCCCAACTTTCTCAGCCTGTCTTCATACGGGAGGTGCTCCAGTCCCCTGATCATCCTTGTGGCCCTCCTCTGGACTTGTTCCAACAGTTCCATGTCCTTTTCATGTTGAGGACACCAGAACTGCACACAATACTCCAGGTGAGGTCTCACGAGAGCAGAGGAGAGGGGCAGGATCACCTCCTTCGACCTGCTGGTCACACTGCTTTTGATGCAGCCCAGGATACGGTTGACTTCCTGGGCTGCAAGCGCACACTGAAGCCGGCTCATGTTCATTTTCTCATCGACCAACACCGCCAAGTCCTTCTCTGCAGGGTTGCTCTGAATCTCTTCTCTGCCCAACCTGTAGCTGTGCCTGGGATTGCTCCGACCCAGGTGTAGGACCTTGCACTTGGCATGGTTAAACTTCATGAGGTTGGCATCAGCCCACCTCACAAGCGTGTCAAGGTCCCTCTGGATGGCATTCCTTCCCTCCAGGGTATCAACCGAACCACACAGCTTGGTGTCATCGGCAAACTTGCTGAGGGCACAATCCTCCCTGGCTTGTCAGTCAAAGTGGTAGGTGAGCCGCAGTGTTTTGTGCAATTATGGTTTTAGCCAGCAATGAGTTCCTTGTTTTCTGGCCACACTGAACCACTCAATGCTTAGAACCAGCCTGGGACCAGTCTTTTTTCTACTCAGGAACTAAGGCAAGCCAACGCAGGTCATTGCATCCAAATCAGTTGAGTAAGAAGATTAAGGCACTGTAGGAGCCAAATTGCTTTTGTTCAGTACAATTAACCAAAGCAAATTGTCAAAGCCATGGTTTAACCCTGGTCTCAGCTGTACATGATTTGCCCTTGTATTGCTTGGTGAGCAAGGCTTTGGTTTGAGGGGCATAGACGTAGGCATGGGAGACTGGCTGACCATAGGCAGAAACAGGCTGTGCTATTACCATAGCACAGCTGACCATCATAAAGCCTACTTCTTTAGTGGCTTCCACTGTGATTGATGGGAACTTTGAAGCTGGGGCAAGTGGGCTTTTATATGCCATTGAAAACCGAGCTCTGGCATGGGAGAACTAAAGTCATGTCTGTCACCTTCAAAGAAAAGGTGAGCCTGGTGTGCCGAACAAGACATGTGCCAACCAGGGGCTCAAAATGAGCTCAGGAGAGGAATAATTACTGTATTTTTGTTAACTGCATAGGACTCGCCTTCTAATTCCTTTCTGGTGAATGGAAAGTAGCGATCTAACTCTGAACTTGAGTTTTGTGATTATGGTTTAGCAAGGACTAAAGTACAGAATAAAGCAATGGGAGAGCTCTTCTGTCCCACCCACCAGAAGGCCTGTCATGGGGACTCCAGAAAGCATTGCAGTAGGAGTAAGCAAAGACTTTCATAGCCTTTTCTTCCTCCTGTACCAAGTTGTTAAATTCTAGCAGGCTAAATTACATGATTGAGGTAGTTACAAAGTATGCTTGACTTGCCTTTGTTTGCCTTTTTTTGCTTTCATTTTCAGGTAGCATTTATGGTTACTGAGTTAATATCTTTAGTCTGAAAATACGGGACAAAGCAGGCTTCCATGGACCATTGCTCTCAAACATTTTATATGTGTTAAAAAGCCTGTAGAGAAGCTGCTACCTGTGTCACAGTACATGATGGTGCATGTTAATCTGCACAGCCTGGCCTAACAACCTTTAAAAAAAATCAAATGTCTTTTTAATAATGTCTTGCTAGGTCCTGAAATTATTAAAAGGGATTTAAAAAGGTGCTAGTTCAGAGAGATACTTCAAATAGAGGAGTAGTGGGACTCCTGTCCTCCCTGTACTCTCCTGTATCAATAACTAGGATTCATTCTGTCCTTTCATTGGATTCCCTTGTTTTCCCATCGCTGTACAAAACACTAATCTCTCAAGCAAATCTTAGCTGCTTAAAACTAGATTCATGGCTGGAAACCACTTCTTGCATTGTGTCTGCTCTTTCTTTCTACCCTAGAGAATTTCTTGCAGAGATTAATCTTTGACTGACCTGATTCCTTGAATAACTCACGGTTCTGAGACACTAAACCTCATACCTCTGACTACTGCTAAGTGAAACCTGACTTGCAGCACTGCTTCATGGAGATCATACTGCCCATCAGCACCTCCCTAACTCAGGACCAGAGGTTCAGCAGAAAAAATAGAAGAGCAAAGAGAGCACCCAGTGCTGTGCATGTGCGGTGTATTTTGCTCACAGCAAGTGTTCACAAGTTGAGTTAACCCCCTTGTATGAACTGGTTATAACATATGATTATGGTGCCAGTTTCACAATGTTCATTTGAACTCTGATAAATTAAGTTGTGTTGGTTTGCCCATGCTAGAAAGCATGCTGACAGTAAGCCAAGCTGTGATGAATTAAATCAGATCAGCACATCAGATTCATACACAGGTTTCTCTTTGGGCTTGACGTCAGACTGCCAGCATAAATTCAAAACCAGGTTATCTTGTCTTTTATGTCCTTTTAACTAAGATAAACTACTATGGATTAACCACCACAAGGAAGAACATAGGTGTTTTCCTCCTCCCTTCACAGTTTCAGTATCTTACAATTCCTTGAATTTTCAAACTGCAGCCCTTGTCTGGATAATGTTTGGTTTTGATCCTCCAAACTTTTACATTAAAAATCAAGGCAGGCAAGTTGAACTTTCACAGAAGTTGATGATAAATATTGCCACCAGACAGAAATGTTCTGTGACGATCACAGGGAAGGTTGTAGCTGATCTGATAACAGAAAAAGTGAATGTAAGCTTTAGGGCTTTTTATTTGCCTTCTGTTGTGTTGCACTTCTTTTAATCTGAAAAGGTCCCATTCTCAAGATTATTTTCTGCCAGGTACAAATGTTATTTCTTAATCTCATACTAGTATAGCACAAATGTCTTCAAAATGTACCTTGTTTCCTGGTGTAAACACAACTGTATGAATCGACATATTTCAAAGACAATAATGACAAGCATTAAAAAGACTACTGCAGTTTGAGACTGATACACGGCAAAAGAGCATCTCAAACTTGACTACTTCTTCCCCTAGTCCTTGATTCTCAGAGGTATATCAGCAGGACATAAAATAAATCTGTTTAGATCTTAAAGAAATGTAATGATGAGGACATAATATGGAATATCTCCTATTATTGCTGCCTGGTGTAAAGGTTTGCTGCTTTCTTTCATTTCAGATACTTAGTATATATCTCTATTTCAGCAAACAGCTTTTACAGAGCTTTCAATCCAGCACTGAGGCATCTGATTTCATAAATTTACTCTCACTTTAGAGTTTTCAGTTGTATAGGTGCCTAAATAAGAACCGAAACCAAGACACGTGTGGCTTTGGGGTTACTTCATGTCTAGCTACATGCTCTCACAACAGCATGATTCCAAAAAGTCAGCAAACAAACCAGAACCGAAAACAAATCAGTTTCTCCCACAGGGAAAAGTAATCTATCACAGTGAGCCAGCTCTGTCTCAGACTGCAGAGAGAGTAAACAATGCTCTGGTGAGAAAATCTTTGGAGTTCTTGGGAATTAAAGTCACAGAGCAGCCAATTTACCATTAAATAATTCCCAGTGCTTCAGAACTGGTAGAAGCCTCCCCCAGCCCCAGCCACGCAACCCCACACATCTTACATTGCTGGAGGGCGGAAAGAAGAGAGACAGCCGCAAGGAAAATTAAATCACCAGCCATGTTCCCACCAGCTTCCGTGTGCAAGCAGGATGTGTGTATAGGAGAGCTTGAGTGAGCAATGAGGAAAAACAACAGGTGGGAGAATTACAGTGCTTTTCAGCACTGCAACAAAGGTCTGCCCAAGAAATAATACAGCCTAACTTTTTAAATCAAGAGTGCAGAATTACGGCTGTTTTTCACTGCCGTTCAGATGCAGTTAGCCAGCCCTGCCTGCTTCTTGCTGTGTGAAAGTGCCGAGAGAACAAAACCAGCCTTCCCTGCCTCTGTGGATTCAGCTGATCTTTTCTGTCTTCAGTTTCAGTTGCAATCTCTTTGGGGGTGAGGTCTTGTTATTCTGTGTTTTTACAGGGTCTAGTGCAGTGAGGTCTGTGTCCACCACTAATAGTGCCTCTTGAGAGCAGCAGGTGCTGGAGACATGAGAGGGGAGCAGAGCTTTGTATCATACCTACATTTGATTTAGGGTTTTGCCCAACATGGCACAACTTGGGCTCTGGCAGGTGGCATGACAGCCACTTTACAGCCAGTCAGCATGCAGAAAGGAATTGCTCAGGATAGTTCAAGGGGTAAAACAACTGACAAAGGAAGAAACATTTGCCCTCACTTTACTGCCTGGGCTACACTTCCTATAGCTTATTCCTGGTCCTAAAAAACGAGAGAGATTCTCTGAAGGAGCATTTTTTTCACCAGCTAACCTTAGCTAACAGGAAGTTTAGTGCTGTTAGCCTTTATGATCCTGTAAGACCACTGGAACAAAACCAATGTAATGTTTGTTGCTACTCCAGGATTATCCACTGTGTCCCAGCAGATATTAAAGTGGGATATTGCATTGAGTTAATTTAAGTTTGCTGATTTTAAAAGCTAATGTAAAAAGGACTTTCAGTTATTTCATCTTGCCGAATTTCAAAAGGTTATTTCTTAGGTATTCTTTCAGGATATTGTTCTTTCTAAAGATTGGAAGAGTAGATATACTGTAATAACGGTAGTTGGATGTTTGTGCTTTATAACTCTCTAATTGGTGATTTATGTGCTTTAATTGCAGTTCCTGTTGTAGTATGGGTTGGCTTTCTGACCACATGGTCTTTCTATGTTTTTAGGGGCAGGCTCAGAAATGTTCAAAGCACTGTCACCCTGCTGGTATAAGGAAGTGAAGGAAAACTCTGACAGAGCCAGTTGTTTGAACAGTTAAAACCACAAGAGCTAAACATTTTAAAGCTAGACATGGAAGTTATGGGTTTTTTTCTGACTTTATTCAAAGGATGTGAATTTCAAAATGCCAATGGACATGCAAAATCCAGCAAAGACTGACTTAGAAGTAACCAGGAATACACTTTAGGGCAAGGGGTTAAATCCACAGAAATATTCTAAGTAACATGTCCATTATGGCTGAGCTACAGTCTGCTTAGCACTCTGTTCACTTTCCATTAGTAGTAGTTGCCTATAGATTTCTAATGCTTTTAGTCATATGTAGTCCACAGCCAATGTTATGTTTACTCCCTCTGTAACCCAGAATAGAAAGTCAGATCATTCACAAAACAAGGTTGGGTTTATTTATGATTATGGAAATACAGTAGTACCTCAGATGCCCAGAGTTTTATGATGTGCATAAGCCCCAATATAAATAGATGCCAGGATTAACCACAAGATTTCCTCCAGGATATTCTGACAGCTTGTCTGTGGCTGATTTCTCAGCTTGCTCCTCACAAATGTAATTCGATTTTGCATTTCCTTCACTTGCATGTATTTCATATGTGCTTTGCTTATCACTGCTTCTGTTGAAGCATGTGTTCTGCAGCTGTCCAAAGCTGTCTCCAGAGCAAGAACAGCGGTTCTGAGCAGTGAAATTCAATGTGAACTCAGTGATACCAGTGGTATCTTAAGACTTACGTCTTTCCCATTTGGAAACAGTGGTATTTTATTGCTGCCCCATACTTTGTATGTGTGCTCTATAGGGAAAACAAGTTTCTCTAATCATAATTTACAGCAGTGGAAACTGAGGCATTGGACTTGCTAGTTTCACGCAGCAGCTGTGTATCAGGGCTAAGCGTAGCCACAGGATTTAAGGCAAATTAGCAGTCCTGCATCTTGCTGAGCTGTGTGTCCCTAGCAGAGCTTCCCAAAGAGGCTGGCTCTTCTCTCCAGAAGCTCCTGTTGACCAGCACTGAAAGCAAATCCCAGCAGGGTGGCAGAACTGCTGTCACGAGAGCAGATGGTCGGGGTAGTGAGACCAAAAGCATTTTAAGTGTGAAACCAGACTTATCAGATAAGCTCTTTTAATGGAGTTACACTGTCAAAGCTGCTCAGTTTTTGTCTCTGAAAGAGCTGAAGAGAGCTTTGCAAAGGGCAGTGTTCAGTCTGTACTTGGGTGTAACTTTTTAAAGGCCAGTCACAAGTGCAGCATCTTTTATTTTTAAACAGCTTCTAGAAGACAGCATCTGAAGAACAGAGAGGCTTCTCTGGCCATAAGGGAAAACATATCTGAACTGTCATATATTTCACTGGAAATGTTCATAGGGTAAATCAAGACTATTACAATGTATGAGGCTGGCTCATGTATCAAAAGCAGTTTAGCTACAGCAGTAACAGTAGTGATCTCTGTGGTTTATTAATTTACTCTGCTTTTCAACAATATATTACAAAAAACATGGGCCGATGTGGCGCTGGGTTATACTCAGACTTTAAATTAATCAGATCTAGGGAACAGGCAAAAGAGGAAGCAAATAAGTTTATTCCTTCAGATGTTCCTATTTCTACCTCCTAAATACTGGTTGTAACCCATGTCTGCTGTTGTTTTGTACGTACTTTCTATTGGGCCTCAGAGGAATGCTGAACAGTTCATTTTACCCAGTTCATTTTAAGGTCTGGCTGTTCAGAGTCCCCTGCTTTGTGGCAGTGTTACTGAATTATAACACAGATCCTTATTTTCCATCCCCATCCTCTGGACACCAGTAGCACGGGATCAGACTGTTACTGATAGTGGTGGCAGAGCAGATTTAAAAGCATTAAATACAGGAACAGCCAGAGGTTTGGGCTCTTCCTCGATCTACACCTTCTGCAGCCTTCTGTCACCTCCCTCAGTGCTGGATGTAAGTCAGGGAAGAATTGGTTCATAGTGTTCTCATCTGAGTGTACAAAAGATTGATGTGCTTTAACTCCCATCAGTATTAATGTGAGTTGCTATATGCTCATAAATTCCCACATGTGCATAGGCCTCTTGGATTTCCTTATGGCCTTTGGGTATCATTATATTCTTCTACTTTGGACATCGCAAGAACATATGTGGAGTGCAATTCTGGACTGCAACAGAGAATAATGTATTTTTACATATGCATGTAAAACATAAACTGGGCCAATCTTGCATAATATCCCATTGTAACCACACCAGGCTTTCAAAGTAGCAGCAAAAAGAGGAGTCTCAATTATTATAAGAAGTATCCTCATGTAATTACAGTGTAGGGTTGTCATTTGTTAAAACAGTGCTTTTCTGTTAAAAATTGTGGTTATTTTCTTAAAATACCTGCGCCTGTTCTCAGCTCTGAGTTGCTTGGAAGTGCAGCTGCTTGGGAATGATTATCAGAACCCATTCAGGAAAATGGTGCACATACAAGCACATCTGCACTGCTGTGTATACATGGTGATTGAGGAATACCTGGGGCATACAACTTAGTAGAGGCAGCATATGCCTCACCTCCCATGTCTCAGATCTCCTCCTCCTACCCTGAATGCTTCTGGAACAAGGGGTAATTCTCCAGAGAAGAGGTACAGCCTAACACGAGAAAGGGATTCTGCAAAGCCTGACTCTCCCATTCAGCAGAAGAGGAAGAAATGCAGTATACAAAGCTATTTCCATTCTCTCCTTTGACTTTCTTTTTGTGAGAGGTTTACTGTGCTACAAAAGCTACCAGACTGGAGACAGGATGTGGTAGCCTTTGCAGTCACATAATGTCTGAGGAGGAAGTTAGGCAAAGTCACATTTCTTTTGTCAGTGTATGTGATTATGCCCGAAGATGAGAAGCAACTCTCCCAGATTCTTCACCCTGTGGAAATCAGTGTGCCTTACACTCTGCACCTCACTCACAGGCTGAAGCTGCTGTGGGCCAATATGATCACCTTGCTTGACTGCCTGTATAATACAAATTGGCAGCATCTCAGCAATGAATAACAGGTAATTAATAAGTGATGGGATCTGGGAGGCAGCGGTGCTTCCAGACATTTGAATACTTCCTGCATGGCACAGTCCTGCTGGCTCTGCATACAGTATCTCCAGTTTGCAGCAGGTAGTCTTGGGAGAACGAAGGGCTGGTCTGTAAAATACAGATCCTGCACGACTTATGTCTGGATCAAAAGGTGGTTTAAAGATTTTCCTGTTGCTATTGACCAGCTGGAAGCAGATCCTCAGGCCACTATGGCTGCTCTGATATCTGGAATGCAGGGGATTAATGGAGATTCAGCAAGAGATTTGAAGATGTATTGGTTGTACGTCTCTTGTCTCCCTTCACAGCATCTAGTAGATTTGTGACATCACACTTGCTATTTTTTAACTTGCTAACCTTGGACAAAGGGCTACTTTAATTAGTGAACCACTTCAGCCCAGGGGAGTCTTTTCATCCATACAGAAGGAAGTTTAATTCCATATTTGTGCAAATCAGTTATGCTTAGGAAGTAGGAGGTAAATTGTGCTCGTGTTCAGCCTTACCTAATGCCTTCAGGCAACAAGGCAGATCTCAGCATTCACTCAGCTAGCTGGTGAGCTAGGCCCTCCAGCCCTGCCAACTCTTCAATACAGCTTGTGTTACAGACAGTCACAACTGTGTGCCATTATTTATTACTTCCATCTTCAACTTTTCAGAGATGCTATTAGTAAATGTTGGCTCTCAGTGTCAGAGTGATGCTTGCTTGAAGCCAGCTACCAAGGGAATGCAGCCACTCCAGTCAATGTCATAACTGAAAAGCTGACAGTTTTCTAAGATGACTTCTGTAGCTGTGCGTTCAGCTGCTCCCAGATTTCTATCAGGTGGGATGCCCAATTCTCTGAGATTCACTTGAGAGTCTGTGTGACTTGGCTGTGCTATCAGAGAAGGTTAACGGCAGA